CCCCAAAACCCCAAAACCCCAAAACCCCAAAACCCCAAAACCCCAATTGGTGTCCCAAATGCTGAAAAATTAATATATTTAAGGTAAGTCTTCAATCATGTCGGCCACCTGAATTCTCACATCGATTAATTTGGAGCTGCCTTCAGCAGATATGTGCTCATCTAATTTTTAGCTGGATTTGAGTATCAAAGATATTTAAATTTAACAAAGAGAGATTTATCTGAAGCTTTGAGAACCTACTTAAGATTTTCCGCCCTAGGATAAGTTAAGAGGGAGGAGACATTGGATTAGATGCAGGATGGTATTAGTGATTGAAGTTTTTTGATGGTTTTAGAGCCAGGAGACTGAGATAGTAGAGAAAGTTAGTGGCTTTGGATGCTTTGATGGGAGAAGTGGCGATTTTGGAGGTGATATTTTAATTTGGAGAGGAGATGGAAGGGCTTGCTAGATATAAAGCCCCATCATTATGTTTACCAAAATCTACACAAGAGCATTCTTTTCTGAAAAATATGAAAATTTCCTAATTCTATTTTAAGCCACACTAGGAGATGCAGACTTGTAGTTATTTACTTAGTGAACTATTTAAAAATTATTCAGCCAGAAATCCTCTATCTCTGACCTCTTCAAAGAGCTCTCATAACTTTAACCTATGAAGAACATTTTTAGTTTTCGAAGTTATAGTTCAATTTTAAACTCAAGGTGATATCTTACAGCAGCCGAGAGGTTCGATGATAATTTTTCACAGATATTTAGAGATGAAAGAGTTAAACAGAACGCCAAGATTGCCTCTAGATATCTTGGGCTTTTTGTGTATCCACTTCTGACATTTTGGTGTATTATTAAACTTTAACAGTAATTTGAAGTGAATAAATATGCAATGGTATGCAAAATTTGGCCATATATTTAGGGTTTGCATCTTTAGGGAGCTCCTGAGCCTCTCGTAATTAGTAGGGAAGTGGCAATTAAGTATATAATCAAGATGCTCCAATCAGCCCATCGATTTTTAATAGATTTGCTCTTTCAAATGCAGTAAGAAAGAAGTTCTTTTACTCTTATTTCATAAATTATTTAAGACACCTACATATATCAAACCACAGGTTTGCTGAAATTGGACTATGTCGATATGTAGAATTAAAGACTGAGGCATTCCGGCAAATATGCCATCGTTTCGGCTGAAATCTAAGGATACTAGGGAGCAATATTCCTCCCACTCGATCACCAGCAGAAGTAAATTTTAGCTTCTAAGTTTTTGAGTGGTGTTCAAGTGGATTATAATGATGCTCTTGCGAATAGCTAAATTTTAGCAATTGTTAGAATCTTATTAAATAGCAGCTTTCGGTTTAAAATTCTTAACTTACTATATCCTCGATAGCGGTGACCAAAGAACCCTTCTGAAATAACTGTATTTTTGTGTTGCTAAACAGGCTGCAGGGATTTATCGGAGCTGCCTTAACCTCCTACCCTTGATTCTAATTTTTTAGATGCTGTTAGGAGTCGTTTCAATCATTCTAACCTATTTTAATGAAATTCTGAAGGCTTAGTCTCCATGTTGGGATGGCAATTTATTAAATTATTAAATCCAAAGTTTACCATTTGAGAATTATCTGCAGATTTCGACTATAATTCCAGTAGAATTGGCTAGATCTAGCTCCAAGGCCTCTTAAGTTAATTTATTTGAGGAGCCCAACTCAGATCCTTGTCTAGGCATTAATCAGAGATCAAATATTTTTAGCCCACTTGGCTTTCATTAGAGATAGCTCAGTCCATCTATTTTGTATTTGAATTCTTAGTGAAAATACTAGAAAGACTGGCTGCGAAGTCACTAAATGCTCTCTTTATCTCTACTAATTGGTCGGAATAGATGAAAGATGCTTTCAGAGATTTAAGTATAAACTATAGTTAGATGTATGACATACTGTTTATATTGGACCCAGCCTTGTGTTGTTGTGTCCGTAATAATCTCAAATTTTGCTCAATTATGACCATTAGAAGCTAAGTTTATGTGAGTCATGAGAGTCCCCCATGTTACTAAAAGATGTACTGGAAGTTCTGATAGTAGAAATGATTTAATAGATTGAGTTAAAAGATTTGGATACACTATCTTGCTCTGAAAGCATCAATTTCCTCCTTTGCGACAAGGTCATGCATTCAACATAGAGAATAATTTAAATTTCTCATTTGAGTGAACATTATTGGTTGTGTTAGAAATTAAAAATTACTGTCTTGAAAGAAAAATTAATTATACTTTCTTGTCTAACTTCTCACAATGTGTAACTAATATTTCATATGAATCTAAATTCTTTTGTTTAATATCTCTTCTCTTTTATGATTATTCTGGACTTATACTCTTAAATTAAAAAATATTCAACAAGAGGTCACTTCAAATTCACAGTCCTAATTCTCCCTTCAACTCTCACTTTGAACAACACAATTCTATATCTTCCCCAAAGTGCAATACCAACCACTGATGTCTCTGCCCCTCTAAACGATCCAAAATATCATAAAATTCAATATTGAGCCGATTCTCACTGAATTCTCTCATCCTTTATTCAGATATCCAGTTAATCAATCCCACCCCTATTGGTGATGCATAAGCCATCCAAATTCCCTATTCTCTAAATAAATGCTTAAATCCAGCTGTGTTCAACTTCCTGTGCTCTTCATCTTTTAAATATGGCTTGTTAGCTTGCTTTCCACTAAATAACTCCTCTTAACACACTATAGATGAATGGAAGAAATTTGGAAGCAAGACCAGAGCTCGATGCAGAACCGAACCGGCAATTAGTAACGTGTTGTTAGCTCCTCTGTCCTTCTCTTTTCATAAACCTAGAATGTTTAAGTCTCCATAAGTTATAGGCAGCGCAATACCCTCCAAGAGTCAAGAATAAAGGCAGGTGGTCCTACCAAGAGCACGATACTTTTGTCAACTGTAACCCAGTGTGCGACTGTTTAGGCCTCAAGAAGTATGGAAAGAATTGGGACATTATTGAAGAGATGGTAATTCAGATATGATAGATGTGACTTACTTTGGTAGATTCCGACAAGATCCAGCATTCAGATTAGGTCTCACTGCCAGAAATACCTCAACCAGATCAAGAAAGATTACCAAACTGATGATCCTATGGGGTGTGTGCTCAGGAATATGTGAGATGCATCGCCTTTTTACCAGTTCAAGCCTCCTGAAGCTTCTCCATTAGCTCATATAAAAGTTGCGAGTGCCCGGAGCGAATGTCAGATGCTTGGCTACAGAGCTAGTTTTGAAACTAAGGCTCAGAAGAGAAGAAAAAGAAGCTCACTCATAAGTTCAAATCACTCAGATAACCATGAAATTCCTCATATGAAAAGAAGGGATATGAAATTCATTCAAAAGAGCATTGAAGATCCATTCGAACAAAATATGCAAAACTTTTCTTCTCCAGATAGAGATAGAGAGGAATGAGTAGGTAACAATAACCAGCACTACTCAGATAAGTCCTCCAGGATCGAGAAAGCTTCTTATGGAAGATCTAAGAGTTTACTTACTACATGTACGAAACTGAATAAACCTAACCAAGTAAAGACTACAGAGCCAAAATCGTTTGAATCCAGAGGAACTCCAGACTTATCTAAAATTATCAAGAAGGGGTCAAATGTGCTGGTTCTTGGTAACGGAAAATTGCTAATACAGGCTGATATGATTAAATCTGAGATACCTTGTCACTACCAACATCTGGAAGACCAAATTGGTATTCTTTCTCATGATGGTCCATGAAAAGTCACAATAATACCTTTAAAACAATTTGACAGCAGTAAAACTCAGAGTAAGACTCAAAGCCAAAATTTTACCAGCTCTAACGAAGAGAATGCGCAAGGGAATAATTTTAAACCTCCTCTTTTTCATACTAGTGTTACAACTAATGCACCCAATATAAATATTGGAAATTCCAAAGAAGCAGGAAATCAAGAATTCCTCAAAGTAATGAATATAATCAAACAGATTTTCTGTTGGTGTCCAAGAAAGCAAGCCTAATAAGAATCTCTGAGAATGTTTAGACCATAAGAATCCCATTGAACCTTAATTCCTACAACTTTACAGTTATATTTGATTTTCTTTAGATCTACTATGTGCTTACAAGTTTGACTTATTTCATGTATTAAAGAGAGAAATTAAATAGCATAAGTGTCATTGCAATCAATTAACATTCCTTGAGATTTTGATAAAGCCTCGATCTATATTTTCAGTCTTTAGACTCTCAATTCTTCAAAAATTTCAATTTATGTATTCCAAATATTCTAGCTATTGAATGTTAATCCTAAAAATTAGAGCTGATTGATGCTTTCTCTGGTATTGCCCAAAAGAAGGAACATTCGAGAATTAGTGAATATTTAAATCCAACTTTGGTATTTTATACACTTTGGTACTACTAGAACCTTATCTACATGGAATTATCCAGATAAATCACGAGTTGCTTCGTTTCACGCTGATATTTCCAAACTAACTTGTCTGAGGGAGATTAAAAACTTGTAGGATTCCAAAAATCCCTATTGATTACAAATTTTATTAAGCATAGTATTTTTGCCATAGGCAGGCTTCCAATTGGACACACCCTCCTGGGGTTTTGGGGTTTTGGGGTTTTGGGGTTTTGGGG